TTGACCAGACGTTCAAGAATAGTAGGGGTTTATTCAATCTCTGATCTGCGACCTACTCGCTCCGTTGGCGATTACCTGACAAAGAAAAAATCGTCTTGCGAACTCAGACTAAAGACTGGAAGTGTTTGTGGAAAAAGGAAAAGAATAAAGAAGGACCTTGTTAAGTTGTTGTATCCCAACTAAACACTCTCGTGGTCGTGGATGTGGCCGTGACTGTGGGTGTGACCGTGGGAGTGGTTGTGACCGTGGGTATGGCTATGGCTGTGACCATGGCTGTGGCTGTGGCTGTGGCCATTGCCTGCCTCGCTGCTGGTGGTCATGCCGTTACCACTCTTGGAGAAGTGTCTGACAACTGTCCGGCCGCTGCTGGAACGGCGTCTCTCCTGCTCGTGCAACTGCGTTCGCATCCTCTCCTCGAGCCTCTCCATCTCGCGGCACTTCTCCTCGTATCTGGCGATAGCCTCATCACGCTCGCGGTCGGCGTTGTTGCGAGCGCTGATCGCCTTCTCCTTCTGCTCTCTCGACTCACGAAGCATGGTGCGCATGCTGCTGATCTCGAATTCGTAGCCGGAGCCGCCATCCTCGTACTCGGTGACGCTCTCGCAAACGTCCTCGTATCTGCCCTCCCAGTCGCGGCACTTCTGCTTAAGCGAGCCGCACTCGGTCGTGAGACTCTCAACCTCGACCTGGAGAGTAGCAGCGAGAGACTTGTGGCTCTTGATCTCAATCTCGTAGTCCTTGATCTTGGTCTTGGCGGTGTTGAACTCGAGCTGCAGACGCTCGATGCGCTCGGTCTTGGAGTGGATCTCCTCTTGAGTCTTGGAGAGCGTAGACTCGGTGTGGCTGAGAGTCTCCTGGATGATGACCAGCTGACGGTGGATATCATCGGCGCGGCCGGAGTGGCGACCGCTCTCCTCCTCGACGCGCTTCTTCTCAAGCTGAAGAACGCGGATCTCCTCGATCTTCTTGGTAATGGTTTCACGCAGCTCGGTCTGGATGATCTCGACACGAGAGACGTCCTCGCGCAGAGACACGATCTCACGCTCAGAGTGCTCCCACTTGAGCTTCCACTTGCTGCTGCGGTCCTCGGCCTCCTCCCAGCAGCTGTGCTCCTTGATGATGTCGCGCTTGAGCTTCTCAATGTGCTGCTCGAGCTCGGTCTTCTCGTGTCTGACCTTAGTGACGCGCTGCTCGGCCCTGGTGATGACCTCTTGGAACTCCTTGATCTCGAGCTGCTTCTTCTCGAGGCGATCCTCGAGTTCCTTGTTCTTGCGTCTGATCTCCTCGTGCCTGTGCTCATGCTTGCGCAGCCTCTCCTCCAGTTCGCTCTCACGGTGGAGCCAGTCATGTTTCTCCTTCTTGAGAACCGAATTGAGCTGCTTGGAGTGGACAAGCTCCTTGTGATGGGTGTCGTGCTTGGTTGTCAGCTCCTCATAACGAGAGAGCAGCTCGGTATACTTCAGGTCGAGAGCATCACGGTCGCCACGAAGCTTGCCACACCTGTCTTCGAGCTCAGCACGAGAACTCTCGGTCGAGATCAGAGTGTGTCTCGTGGTCTCGACAGTCTTCTTCGTCTCCTCATGCTCGCGCCTGACGTGGCTGAGAGTGTCCTTCACTTGCGTGATCTCGTGAAGGAGGTGGCGGCACTCGGTGTCGCGCTCAGCAAGCTTCGTCTTGAACTCGGCAGTGCTGTTAACAGCGGCCTTGAGGTCAATGTTGAACTTGAGGATTTGCTTCTGGCGCTCTTCGTGCTCGTGGTGGTTGTGAGAGTGCTCCCTTTCCTTGATCTCGATGATCTCGGCGAACTCCTCAATGCGCTGGTGCATCCTGTCCATCTCAGCATAGCAGGACTCCCGCTCAGCGATGATCTTGCTCCAGACCTCCCTCAGGGAGGTGCTGCGGCGAGACATGTTGGCCATCAGCTCTGTGAGGGCAAAGAACTCGCCCTCGGCTTGAGCGGTCAGCTCCTTGGCCACTTCGGAGCTGTACTGCTTCTGGTAGCTGCCCCATGATGAAGTTCGGGTGCGGCTCAAGATGCGACGGGAGCTATGGCTGTGACCATTGGCGAAAGAGCGCGTGGAGCCCGTAGGGCTGGCGTCGCGAGAGAGGACGCCGTTGGGACGAGGCAGACGTCTGGTGCGGGACATCTCGAAGATGTGAGACGTGGCATCCGGGGAAGTAGACAGGTCCTCATCGAGGATGCTGTCCATTCCGACGAAGTCCTTGGGCATGAAAATCCCATTGGTGTGAGTGTCGAGGGTAGCCATTTCGTTGAAGTAAGGAAGCTCGTAAGCAAGGTTACGATTCAATGAAGTGCTGGATATCTCGGTCATGGGTGGGCAAGGATCGGATGAAGCGGGAAAGAGAAGACACAAAACAGGAGAATAACGATCCAGATATATAGTCATGGATGCTGTGTGAAGGACTTTTCGTGGGAGGAATTCCAGGATGAGAGGAGACGCCATCCGAGGGACCAACAACACAATGGTAGCCATTGATGGCTTCCCCGGGTATCCAGCTGTCTAGGAGCTGATTTCCCAAAACGGTGTTGTCGGCTGCCACAAACGCACTCGTCTCCACCAAAACGAGATAGGAGAGAGACAAAATCCCAGCTCTCTCCCTAGGGTCTTAGACAGCATACTCTCTAGCTACCGTTGATCTCAACGATCGGCGTGTCCTGAAGATTCATCGTCTCCGTTAACGGTATCATCCTGCCTGCGAGCATTGGCCAAATAGAGTGATTCCAGCAACTGCCCAAATGAATGTCTCATGACAAAAGAGAGGGAGAATCCCATCTCAGAAAATTATTCTCGGAAAGGCCTCTTGGGGAACGGCACGAGCCATGCAAAGATTCAAGGAGCAATAACCAATAGAAGGGGTTGTACCTGCTGAGTCGTGAAAGTTGTGTCTGTATCCAGGCGTATCCAGGTGGATGGTTGCGGGACACGCCAGCCACAGAACACAGATGTGAGACATCCCACGGACGGTCTCCCTTGCCCAACGCTCTAATAGGCTCGTTTACAACATGGCGAACCCAGAATGCCATAGTGACTTTTCGACGTGCTCTTTCGGGACAAGATCTCAATCATTTGACGCAGACCGAACGAGGGGAGCTGTCTTACACGCGGCACTTGGCATTCGGAGGGGTCCTACGGTCATATCAAGCAACGAAGAAACCAGAGATGTCACTGCCCATCCAGAAAATACCGATCTAGCGGACATGATTCCATAGCTAGATATAAGTTATCACTTTGTCTTCTCTTACAGCCAAGACCGGAGTTAAGAAGCTCGGTTGACGTTGAAGAAAGCAACCATTGAGGGTTCGGATCAATAGGGGAGTCCAGCCTCGGTATGCCTCTCGGATCCGAAGAATGATCTTCACGGACAACTGCATTCCGGCATACCAGCAAAATGGAGTCGCCGCATTCAGCTCGGTCACCCCGCATGAAACACATGCGCCGCCTTGCGCGAACGTTCAAGACACCCCATTTCCCAATCTGTGGCTCACTTTGGCGATTATCAACAAAACGGGACATATTCTTCCGACCTCTACTCATTTCGCATGAGCCTGCGACATTCCAACTTCACACCGGCGCAGAGATCCAGTGATCAGCGAGACGTTTTGCTCAATGTTGACGATTCAGGATAATTTCTCTCGTCCTTGCCAAGAGGCTCAACAAACCCGACTTTTCATGTGCTCACGATACTCGGGCCGGTCCCAAGCATCTCTTCCGATGTGGCGCTGATGTCTTCGATTCAATGTCTGTTTGTGGGGATAGATGCTTCCTGTACCACGGATTAGGTCTTGATTCAACAGGAGTGAACCAAAACTGAAATTTGTTTTGAGACGCTCGACCAAAGCACATGTGATAGTTTCTTGTGAAAGTCACGCGAAGGACTGCTGATTTCTCATAAATTATCCTCGGCGTCCGAGTCCAGTGTTGTTCTGGTAACAGTCGAGCGCAAGTCTAGACTATCCCGATTTTGATATTTTGGGTTGTCACCAATGTTTTGTTGTAGATATGAGTTCGAGTGAGTAGCTGCCGAGGTAAACTGTATACAATCACTAAGGAACTGGGAAAATGAGCCCCGAGACCCGGACAACTATCCTTGACAATAACATCTCATTTGCTCAATGAATCGCGTTGCTACATGATCTTGTCTTGGCCAAGAGCTCTTTCGCGAGAATTACCAGTCCTATCTGCCAAGCAACGCCTCAAAGAACCTCCTGAATGCTCCTCTACTAATGAAACATGAATTGAGAACAAAAGGAACGTCTCATGTGCCCCAGTAATGATCAAAATCTATTAGCCAACATGTTATGTACCAAATATTCATTCATCGCTACCCATCTTTCGCACTGACGCTCTCCTTACAATGCCAGATCAGATTACTCTCCTAACATTTACGCCTGGTTCCCTCAATATCGCACAAGCAAACTAACGACAAAAGGCTTTTGTAAACCACGAGAGGGCGGAAGCTTTACCGCCAATTCCGCCAGACTAGGGCGGCACTTCCGCCTATCTGAAGCTACTTTCCAGATAGCGTAACCCTCGCCTCTCATGACGCAGGTCCCAAATTTTGATTGGCATCCCAACACGTCAAATGTGGATTGACTTCGGGATTTGTGCCCCCATTGCCAGACTCCAGGGAAGTATTTCAAGTGTAATACGTTATGCTCAACGGCCGGACCGGCCCGTTTACGGGAAAAGTTGCCCCAAGGAAATCAAGCTCCACCAAGGTGTCGACGACGCCTTGCGGTCGCCAAATCCAGAAAGAACGGCTTCCGTGGTGCTAATTTGACCGATAAATCCACGGAGTTATGAAAGCGAGTCTCAATAACCAAGAGTCGCGCGTATCCAGAGACGTTGCCAAAAGTCGAGGAATTTTTGCCTCACAACCTCATGACCGGCAACAATCACCCACGTGAATGATTAGTTTCCCGCGGCAAACTCGGATAACACCCACTTTCGCCGTGCGGTCAAGAAACGGTCTCCAGCATGAAAGAAGATATACCGCAGCCAGCAGAGCGACCGCACAGCTCGGTTTCAGATGGTACGTAGCAAACAATTATTCAGGGTCGTAAGCACGGCTGACATAGTTCTGAGGCATAATGACCCACGCTGGAAGCACCGAATCTATTGTGGACTATCCAGATGGCGGATTGAGAGCTTGGCTAGTCGTGTTTGGCGCCTGGTGTGCCATGATACCTTCCATGGGTCTCTTAAACTCGCTCGCCGTCCTCCAGGCTTGGCTCGGAGAGCACGAGCTGCAAGGAATGCCAGAGTCTTCCACTGGATGGATATTCAGCGGCTATGCCTTCTTCCTGTTCTTCTGTGGCGCTCAAATAGGTAAGGCAGCCCGGAGCAAGTGTATGCGTATCGTTTTCAAATTAACAGCCCCAGGCCCTGTGTTTGATGCCCATGACATGCGCCTATTGATCATTCCCGGAGCTGTCGGCATCGTACTTGCTCTCGTTTTCATGAGCCTTTCATCCGGTAAGCCTCATAAGTTTCATGTCTCAGCTTACCTAGCATCATGAGTTCTCGATGATGATTTTAATTGTTGTCCAGAGTTCTACCAATTCTTTCTCTCGTTCAGTGTGCTTGGCGGGATTTCATCGTCGTTACTGTACAATCCAGCTGTATCGGCGATCGGCCATTGGTTTCACAAGAAGAGAGGACTGGCCACTGGCCTGGCTTGCACTGCGGGAGGTGTGGGCGGCGTCTGGATGCCCCTCGTCATCCTCTACTTGGCTCCTCGCATCGGCTTCGGCTGGTCTATACGAGTGATAGCTCTCATGTGCGCCATTCACGGGGCAGCGGCATGCTGCCTACTGACTAAACGGCTGAAACCTGAGAAGTCAAGAGGCTCTTCCATCGACATCAAAGCCCTCAAGGACATTGACTACGCTGCGGTGGCCCTTGGACTAGTTCTCGTTGAGTTTGCCGTCTTCATCCCGATCACATACATCTGCTCCTACGGTATTCACGCTGGGTTCGGATACCTCGACGCGTACATGCTCAACCCCCTCCTCAACGTTGGCGCCGTTCCGGGTAGATTCTTACCCAATTACGTCGCTGATCGATTCGGTGTCATGAACACGATGTGTGCTATCACATTCTGCTGCATGGCGTCGATATTTGGCCTCTGGCTTACAGCAAATGGGAGTCAGGCCATGACAACAGCATTCGCCATCATCTACGGATTCTGGTCAGGAGCATCAGTGAGTCTTGCTCCGGTCGCCATTGGCTTGGTTTGTCGGACGGAAGACTATGGGAAACGCAACGGTACCGCATACACTCTTTGTAGCTTTGGTACTCTCATCGGGATTCCAATCGCCGGAGCGATTTTAAGAGCCGAGGGCGGCGGCTATCGGGGGTTGATAATATTCGCTGCGCTAGCCTATGTAATATCCTTGGCCGCTTACATCTTTGGTCGTGTGCGGTTAGGAGGGTGGTCGCTGGTGAAGGCGTGTTGATGGGGTTCGGCTCTGACGGGGTCTCTGGGGTTGTTAAGATGGCTTGCGTCGGTGTAGATGGCATGCAGGAATCGAGGTTGGTGGATAGATAAGCCATGAGAGAATCTAGCCACCAAGTTCTCTGAAAAAATACGAAGTCTCGGACCAGATGCGACTCTGATTTTACTTCGAGCTTGGCCACTTTGAGCACAAAGGTATGTGTACAGACATCTCTCGGCCAGAGCACAGATGAGCCAAGACTCAAGGAGAGGTTCTGAAGTCGCCATGCAGGCAGCAGCATGCAGGTGAGTTGACTTGACCAATCACCTTCAACTATTGCTACTACTACGTCTCTCAACGTCTCTCATCGCAAAGCAATGAAACTTACTGATTTACTAAAATATGCTGCCAAGTCCGCCTTCGAGGGCTTGGATGCAGTCTAGGAAGCATCCTTCGTCATGTGCACCCACTCAGAGCTACCACGTTTGCTTCCGGTTTCTAGCCAAGCTAACACGTCAACGGCAGCTTCCTGATTCATCGTTGACAAATTGCCCATTCCGTACGCGAAAGATCAAAGGCTTTACAAGTTTTTCTTGTCCACATGGCGCGGTATCGCCGGAAGGTTCGGCCTATGATGTAATAGTCTTTAGACAATCGAGTATGTCACCACACAGACCCGCTCCGACAGACCACTTCCGGCACACCACCCGAGCACCCTTCTCCACGGACATCCGTGTGATAAAACGGCGTCTATTCACTTGTCCGACGAACTGCTACGTCCTCAGACTCTTCAGGATTCGAATTCAAAAAGCTCTATAAACTGCCTATCCCTACCTGAGCTAGCTCACAAACCTGTCGTCATCAACGCATTCCAGAACATCTACCAGCCTTCCAGAAACGCACGAGTCATGTTCCTCTCCAACAGAGCACCAGCGAAACCGCTGCCCCGCTTTCAAACCAACACGCCGCTGGACTCGACCTTTGATAAGGACATCCGCGACGTGCACCTTATCTACGACTACGACGCCGAGGATGAGAATGGAAATCCGGAAAAGTGGCGCTATGAGATGTGGTTCTTCTCCGAGGACCGCGTAGTCTATGCCATCCATGGCGGACCGATGGCGGGCCGCATAAACTACCAGGCCGCCACGTATCAGTGTATTCGCCCCGGCGAACTATGGCAGGTGAACTGGCTCGAAGAGACGGGGACTGTCTGCTCGCTCGTCTACGACATTCCGAATCAGAAAATCTCGACTCTTATTTCGTTTTCGCGGGGTCATTGGGAAAATCCTCAGGCGGCGCACGGTGATAAGCGCAACCCCGGCGATTTGGCGCGGTGGAGGGTGCTTGCGAGGTTTGGACATCAGAGCGACAGGCTCATGCTGTCCGAGCAAGCGGACATTGTGGAAAAGTTCAAGGGCAAGGGGAATCTGGTGCCTATTTCTGAGGATGCCATAACATTTTGAAGGAGATTCGAGTTTCGTTAGGTGTCGTTAGTAGCATGGGCGTAAAGGTACTTCAGCGAGGTTGATACGTGATATTTGAAAGAAAAATGAGAAGCATGCGTTGTCACATCACTTGAATAAGGCTTTTTTGGGAGAGGCTGCAAGCTTAGAGGTGTTGTATCCTCCGTTCACTTTCATGCAGATGTGTCGGCTGTAATTTAGATGCGCCTTCGCTCATTTGATGACACGAAACATCGACAACAAAAACGTGGCGGGACAGGTCGGATGCACATCCTGTGAAGGCGCAACTCGGATCTTGCCTTGCAAGCTTCTGCAACCCAATATATACAATTCATTCTCGTTCTATTTACTTAGTCTGGATGAACATGAATTGTACCATTTATCCATCTCAGCCATTGGATCGAGAGCCTTTATCGGCAAATCTTGGTTGGGCCAATGCCAGCCGGGTTTTCAAGCGTGCATTTAAGTCCCTTACAACAATCGTGAGGCAGAGGGTCGTTGTCGTTGCAAAACTCTGTGGTTGTAAATCAGCTCACTGTGAAATAATTGGAGGATCTAGAGAACAGGTATTACCATCCGCTCTTCTGCAATCCGCCTGACGAGGGAACAATTCCATGCCCGCAGTGTCACGCTAATATATCAGTCAGCATTCGGCGATGTTCACGGATGAGCAGCTAGGGAGACGAAAGGTCTTACTGGGTGAGGGACAGCAGCCGAAACGACGGCAACGAGAGTGACGATAACCGCAGTAAACTTCATATTGTTGGATGTGAATGAGATGGACAGGTGACAGACTCAAAAAAGATATTGTCTAAAAACGTGGAAGTACCGGACTTCAAGAATTTGAATAAGAATGAAGCTGCCTGCTTGTTTGATGACCAACTATCTGGAACATTATTTCAGTTCAGGCGGCGATGTCTACTGCTTTTGTACTTGACCGAATGCTTGGGCTCTTGATCGGCAGATCTTCTTTGAGAACACTTGACTTGGCTATTTTGGTGTTTTCAAGATAGGAAACTTCCTAATTCGAATGATTTACAAAGGAACACAGGAAGACTGCCAGGATTTGACAGACGAAAGCTATTATAAAAAGTCGCCGTAAAGATTTAAGGTTGCTGTCAAACACAACTGGCAGGCGAAGTGGGCACTAGATATGCATACCATGTATCGCAGCAAGTCAAGAAAGACTCTGAGCATGACCTGCGGATACTGATTCACTCAGACTATTGGCCAACAGCAACTCTTAATTGATGACGGTATCCCCGAGCTGAACCGGACTGCCGGTACTGAGCGGCCGGAGTTGAGGTTCGTCTGAAACGGCCGTCTGAAACTCGCCTCCAAGAACTTGACCCCGTATTCCTGACTCGAGCCTTTGCATATATGGCCTCATGGCTGTGCAGTTTAGGGAAAAAGTAATCACAAAAGGAGCATGCCGCCTGAGAAGAGTCACAGAAGAGCTAATACAGCATATAAATTGATTGCTAGTGGGTCTGGTGGCCTAGGTATCGACATATCCCGCCGGAGACTTGTTCGCGCTCTCAACTCCGATACCGAGCCCGAACCTCGGACATATTCTCGACTTCTACTTGGTGCCATTCGTTACGCAATGACCACAGGTAATGGAATTGTCCACAGATTCGCTCGCATCTTAGTTGCCCAGGCGGTAGACCCAGGCTTTGCTGGGCGTCAGCGTTCCCTGAATGATATTTTCCCATGCCTTCTCAACTCCTGAGGAACCACCAACTCCAGTGCCCCAAACCAATTCCATATCTCCTAGGTACTTCTCCCGGACTGCTTTCTCGAATGCAGCTTCGTTTTCTTTGAAGAAGCTCTCCGCGCCTTCCGCCTCAACACCATCGTCAATGACCCAAGTCGTGTTCAGTTGAACAGGGACACCCCACTTCTCTCGCAAGCCCATAAGTGTCTGGAACTCCTCTGGAGATTGCATTTTTGGCTCGCCGCCAATCAAGACCAGAGTGAAGCTTGTACCTTTCGGTAACTTGGCGGCCAGAGCTTCGCGGAGCCGCTCTGTGACTTCCACAGGGCCTCCGTTGTCAAATACCACCACGCGCTTAGGCTGGACACTAGTAATCCAGTCGATCGTCTCTTTAGCAGCAAGTTCGTCGTACTTCACATTCTTGATCTCGAAGGGAGCCTCGGGGGAAGGACTCAAAGACTGAGGCGAAGAAGTGGCGTTTAGCCATGCAAGAGGCCCATTGGTGTCCGGTTTACGGTTCCGGGCAAAGTTCCAGGTGATGCTCCGCCCCGTCCGGCTTGATGCGGAGAGGTTGACAACGACGGCGGAGCTCAGATCCAAGTCCTTGTCGGTCCACTCGCCACCATACTGGCCAGTTGGGTGAACTCCTTTAAACTCCGTCGGGAAGCTGAAGCGGTTAAGTACGTAGCCCGCGTTCCAGATAGGATACGCGTTTGCGAAAATGGCTCTGAACTCCTCTGGTTTGGCGGACTCGTCGACGAGGTTGTACCGGTTGTAGATGCTTCCGAGCTCCTTCCTGTGGTCGCTCACCTCGCGGAAGTGACCCTTGGGCTCGTGTGGTACGAGGTTGAGATCAACTTCGTGTGATGAGGTAGGCCAGTAGCCGTAGACAAGACTGCCGGATGGGATGGCCTCGATGTTCGACTCGAGAACCCTGGCGAAACCCCACGCAGGCACGATACCCCACTCATCCCGGTTGTTGTATGGGGCGGGGCCGTCGAGAGGGACGGGCCAGGTGGTCCACCAATGGAGCATGTCTCCGAGCTTGGCATATGAGAGGTTGTTGGATGTGATGCCGATGAGAGTTGAGCGCGCCCGGATGGACGAGGGGGCTAAGGGGGGGAGAGACAGATTGACTGAGATTGTCTCATGTTTGGTGAGGTCCTTCTTGGAGATGACGTGAATTTCGGCCGCCATATTGCTGGCAGTGTGATGAGTGCAGCTGTGTGAGTGTGACTTCGCTGGTGGTTGATTAACGATCAAACGGAACACAGTGAGAGGGGTTGTGGTTTTAACCCGAAGTTTAATCCTTGAGCTGCCGACAATAGCCAAGGGTCAGCAGCGGACCGAGCAGATGGGGCGGCATCAAAAGGGCATCTTACATTGAGTGTGAAGTAAGACCTAAACCGCATCAAGGCTTGGATTAAGCTTGTTAGTGGTCCCATCGCACTGAACCGGCTAGCCGGTTGGCGCCCGCATTTGATTTGAATCCGCTGAACCACTGTCAGTCATCAGCGAAGAGTCATCCCTACAGGGATCATAGTGGATGCATTTTGAATCTTTCTCAACGGAAGAATCCTTCGTAAGCTGATTTCACTTCCGATCAACTGACTGAATGTGTAGCGGATAGCCTTCTACGACTATTCAGCGATGAAAGTGCACACAGTGTCATACTTAGATGATGTCCGGATGGGCCGGGCGTTGCGGGGTTCGGGAGTCACTCTGGCTGACGCGGAGTACAATGGGCGGATAACAAAACCTAATAATGTGTACCACAGAGTACTTGGTAGTGAGTAATGCATCGAAAACTTGAGTACGAATGAATTAGATATGGAGTTGCTATTCAATTGCTTCAATTAAGGGAAACTTTTAAGCGGTACCAAAAGCCTTCTGGTGCCCAACCAAGGTGAATCGGTAGTGAACCTGATTCTCCTTGACCCTCTCAACCGCCTCCTTGCATCCTGCCTCGGAGATGTCAATAGTTTCAACCCACGGCTTGATGCCCTTCTCAGCGGCAAGCTTCAACAGCGCATCCATCTCCTGGTGGTTTCCAATGTGGCTTCCGGACATCTTAGCCGAGTTGCTGGTGAACAGGCCCGCAGGGAACTGGGGAAGCGGCTTATCCGGAAGTCCCACCATGTGAAAGTGACCACCGACGCTTAGCGTGGACAGGTAGGTTTGCAGATCAAATTCGTTGGTCATATCGGAGCAGTTCAACATGAAATCGAACTTGAATGCCCAGGGCTTCGCCCAATCCTTTTCTGTCGTGTTGATGACCTCCTTGGCACCCAGCTTCTTGCAGTCTTCGGCCTTGTCGGGCGAGTGCGTGAGGGCGTAGACTTCGGCGCCGAGAGCCTTAGCCCACTGCACTCCAAGGTGACCGAGGCCGCCGATGCCGACAATCGCGACTACGGAGCCTTTCCCCACACCGCCCCGGACAAGCGGGGAGTAGGTTGTCAAGCCGGCGCACATGAGCGGGGCCGCATCCTCGGACTTGAGCTTCTCGGGGATCTTGAAGGTGAAGTACTCGTGAGCGCGGATGTGACTTGCGAAGCCACCATGCGCCTGGCTGCCATCCTCGTACTTTGCGTTATAAGTGTCTGGTTCTTTAGTTAGTCTTTCCTTCGGGAGCGGCCGAAAAATCCATGTCAACGTACCAACGAGGTGAGGGCAGTAGTTCTCGTTCTGATGCTTGCACTGCTCGCACTTCAGGCACGCCCACACCTGGGCTCCCACGCCAACCCTGTCTCCAACCTTGATGTCCTTGACACTCTTGCCGACGGCGATCGCCTTACCGACAACCTTGATGGCTTTTAGATCTTGCACGCCCGTCTTAGATGTTCTGAATAGACTTACCTCGTGGCCGACACACAGGGGACCCTCGTACTCGCCCCAGCCGCCAGTGATAGTGTGCACGTCGGATCCGCAGACACCACAGCACTCGATCTGCACGTCAATGTCGTGATCTTCGAATGATTTCGGTGTGAGGGTCTCCTTGCTAAACTTGTTCCATGTTTTCGGACCCTGAGTGCAGAAGCCCTGGAATTTTTCGGGGTAGCTCATTTTGTTTGAATTGGTGGTGGTGGTGTCTAGAATATTTTCGAGAATATTTGCCGATGTCCTTTGTCTCTATCGTGCTTTGAAGTGCACTCTTCTTCTACTTATATACGGCCAGATTTCGCGATGACGCTCGAATTTCCTCAGACCTGCCCGCCTCTGGGCTGATCATACTGCAAGCTGCTCCGGTAAGGCAATAGACCTCGGCCCTCTGCCTGCCGCAAATTACCCATCGGAGAACACCCATCGAAAAGTGCCATCCGATGAATGACGTCTATGAGTTTCTCAATGTCTCGAGGGTCGCCCCACCTAAGCGGCGTCTCGGTCCATGCCGAGAAGGTCGCGCCAACGCAGCTCCGGGTGTAGCTCACGCCTTAGCTCCGAAAGGCTTGGCTTCCAGACCGCTGATAACGAGCTAGCTTCCCCCTGGGGTGTCAATCTCCTTCCCGAACGGGACATGTCTCGAAGCCTCATGACGCCAACCTTTTCTCATCATATTGGGTTTGACGGTGTCACAGCAGAAATACGCCGAGACTTGAGCCTCAGGGAAGTCGATCCGGAGTGAAAGTCCCGATTCCACGGCATTCCGCTTACCAATGCGTGCTTGCACAGAGGAGTTCACTCCGTGGTGCTGAGCCAATCAAATTGACGAGGTGCCTGATGCCGGACCCGCGGTGCGATCAGGTTACTCTTTGAAAAAGAGGACTGACGTATTGGGAGAGGAACAATTGCCGGGCTCTTTAGTCTACATGCGTAGCTTAGAGGCCATGACGGGGCCTCATCTAAACCACGTGGACATTTACTCCACAGGTGGTAGCGAAAAGCCAAGCGGCGTTTAGGGGAAGCGACATCAAAAGATTCACCAGCGTTCTTGGGATTCAGGTCACTGATTTTAGAAATCCTGCCTTGAACCGTCCCAGCCTTATTCGAAAGGCCCATCTATTCATGTGCTGTCTCATCGACATTCCTTACTTCCAGATACCCAGGAAAGCCATAACAGTAATCCTAATAACACAATCTCGCAGGATATGCCCCTTTTAATAATACTTGGAAATTCCACCGACTCTACCTGACACTAAATACGTATATGAAATTCAGGCAACCTGAGAATGAACCTAGGAGTCACCTAAAGCCATGGACCCCTGATTCAAAGTCATGGGTTTTACTTACGTGTGGGGCCTCAAAGAATCCCGTGGTCATTCTTCAGTGGTTAAAGCCGTTGTCATTAAGTAATATAGTGAGAGGGGTCATTGATATCCATAACAACGGCCAAAATGCTCTATCAGGAACATGTTTTTGTCTTCGACAGCGTCAACGTTTTGGACTCCTCGAGGACGGCTGTCCAAGCGACTTTGACAACCAGGCATTCGGAATGTAAACATGTTCTCAAATTTGCTACGATTTATGACAGCCTCTACCAAGTAACATCACAACAGTTTCATGCGCTGACTCTAGGCCCAGTGCTTGTCATTGCCACTTCCTTTAAGGTAGACCGCATTTGAGTTCTAGACCAGGTCAATCCTGATATTCGAGCACTTTGCCAACTGGAATGGAGTTCTATGAGCTTTCCGCCTTCATTTCGAAATCATCATCCAAAAGGATTTATGATAGCTCACATTTGAAACGGTGAAATTGAAACGGTGAAATACTCCGCGTCGTGCGCAAGACTGGTTAGACTCGTATGATGTCTTGCATCTCAGCTTGCCACATCATCACAGGCTGGCTGGCCAGCCTAAGGCAGCTCCCTTGAATTTGATTCAAGGAGAGTGCCGTCCCGCAATTGGTGTTCTGTGTCTAACTGAATCTCGTTGCATATTTCGAAAGTGTTTTTCGTCTCTGGAGCGAGTAGGGGAATATGAGCATGAATCCTGAATTTCTCTGAGTCGTGCACGTAGGCGACATGAGAAATCGGTACAAATACGCGTGGTTCCTCACGCGGAACACTGGATAATTCCCAGTCGTATGCAAATAAAATTTCTCAAGCCCTATCAACAACACTAAATACCGTTTTCTCACTAAAGCCTTTGTTGGATTCTTGTCGGCCTTCGCTTTCCTTCGAATATTAATCACCCCTCCAAGCCATCATGATGCGACTCGTCAACACGGAGCCTGCCAAGGACCCCAAGACCCGACTCATGAGAGTCTTTCCTCAGGATGAAGCTCCACCTTATGCTATATTGTCCCATCGATGGAGTCCGAAAAGTGTAGGGGAGGTAACCTTCCAGCATCTTGACCCCAACTCCGAATCACCGAAGGGTCCTGTCAGCTACAAAAAGATCACAGAGTTCTGTAACAAGGCCTTTGACGCCGGATTCGAGTGGGCGTGGATCGACACTTGCTGCATCAACCACGAGGACTCTCAAGAGGAGGGAAAGTCCATCAATTCAATGTATAGCTGGTATCGCAAGGCCGAAGTTTGCTACGCATATTTGGCAGATGTCACTAAGCTTGAGGATATTGGAAAGAGCGATTGGTTCAAGAGAGGATGGACGCTACAGGAACTCCTAGCCCCGCGGAATCTCATTTTCTTCGACCAAAATTGGATCGACATCGGCTCGAGAGCTCTTCGGCGAGACATCATCAAGGAGACAACGAAGATTCCATCCGAAGTTCTACTCATAAACACCAACACCGACTACAGTGTAGCACAGATAATCTCGTGGGCCACGGGCAGGGAAACAAGTCGCCCTGAAGACCGCGCGTACAGTCTACTTGGTTTGCTCCGCATCACAATGGCGTTAAATTACACCGAAGGGGGTGAAAACGCCTTTGTCAGACTTCAGCAGGAAATCATTAAACGATCTACGGACCATTCTATTTTCTCTTGGACAGCCAAAATTGAAGAACCTGGCAAACTAAGGGACGCTTTTGCAAAGAGCCCAGATGAGTTTGCGTCTTGTGCGGACGTCGAGCCCAATACCACCTCTCGAGAATTCGCGCTCACTAATAACGGTCTCCGCATTCAAATGCGCATCAACGACAAGGATCCTAATATGATATGGGGCGTGCTCGATTGCACGCGCAAAGGAAAGCACGTCGCCATACCCCTCGAGCAGATTGGGGATGCTGCAGAGCGTCGCTACGGACGGGTTGGACGTCGTGGTCCGGCTGATGGCGCTACTGATGTTGAAGCTGCGATTTTCAATGAAATGGAATACAGGGAGGTATATATTGCACCCACTGGACCACGCAACTTCAATCTTTCTGAGTGGATGGACGCTGGGGCGCAGTATACCTTTTTCATGGAGCCACCCATGACGCCAGGCAGCCCTCTTGTTATCGACCTGAAAGCCACTGGGAAAGGTCGATGGAAATTCGGACCCAGGGCCTGGGAACTGAAGCTGGAAGAAACAGGTCACTGTGGAGCCATGCTCCTGCAGCATCCACTTGGCGAGGATCAATTTGTGGTCATGCTGGGAGTCCACAACAATAGAGTGTGGACTAACATTGAGCCAAAGAACGGGGGTGGCGAGAGTCTTCAAGAGATAACGAACAACTACCTCGTGACTGCCAAGGACTTTCATGCTTCAGACCGGGGCAAGCCTGTTTTGAATGGCTTGGATGAGCATGTGCAGGATCTTGGGGGAGGGAAACATGTGAGTGTGAAGATTCGAAATGGGGAAGTGAGGAGAGAGAAATGTTTCAGGGTCCGAATCTCGTTTTTGGTTTATAATTCGAAGTTGTAGAAGCACCATCGTTCTTTCAATTGATTTGATATCCATTCTTGACATCTCGCATGTGCTCTGAAAGGAGCATCGGCTTCGATTTGAGGACTCAGATCTCTTCCAGAATGGGAGTCGAATTGTTTGGGCTCCCACATTGTCAATGCTAAACTATTTTCTTCACATGTACTCCTCCCGAGTACCCTTCTCATTGCTCCTGTAAATCGCCTCGAGCATCCGGTGTCTCAACAAAGCATCCTGGAAATCAGGCATAGCACCCTCACCCTCCCCAGCAAGCGCGTCCCACGCCCTGCCCGTGTTGAACGAAAAGTCCTTGGCCTCCTCGACCTCGATCTTCTCCAGCTTCGACCCCGCTCCGGCCTTGACAAAGCTGATCGTGGGCTGAAACCCCTGGATGTTGCCCATGGGCCCCTCCAGCACAAGCGTCCCCTCGGTGCCTGTAATTTCCCAGAAGAAGTTCTTGTCAATGGCACTCATGCCGCCTTGACACACGGCAGTCGCTACGCCGCCGCCCGCAAGTCTTCCCGTGACGGTGCAGTGATCGTGGGACGTCTTCGTGATTGTCCCCTGCTGTTTCCCTTCGCTGTCGAACCACAGGCCGGTTATTCGCGAGAATACCCTGAACTCCTCTAAGCTCTCCGAGCACGAAACAGAGGGCATCCAGCGCATGTCCGACAGAAATCGACATCAGATTGGCCCCGTTCTCGATATCGGTTGCGAAAACAGCGTCCGCCGGAAACGTGGCTCCAAACCAAGGACTCGTGAAGAGCATCGTGGTCTGGAGTATGTCGCCCAGCTCGCCACCGGCAACCATGTCTCTCGCCTTGAGCACCGAAGGATCGTGGCGGCCCTGCAGACCGACCAGCGTCCCGACGCCCTTCTCGGCCGCCAAGTTCGCGAGTTACTCGGCCTCAGCGACGTTGCGTGCGAGGGGCCACTCGGAGAAGACGGCCTTGCCGGCTTTGAGGGCCGCTTCGATGATGGGCAGGTGCGCCGGGACCTTGAGGCAGACGGCGACGAGGTCGGTGTTCGGGTCCGAGACGGTGGACTGGATGTCTCCGTAGGCTGCAATGTCTTCTCCGAGATTATGGATGCGAGCGGCTTTCTTTGCAGTCTCGGTGGAGGAGTTTTGGAGCGCGACGATCTTGTAGTTGGACGTCGTGGCGAAGTAAGGTAGATGCGCCGCGACGGACCACGACCACGCTCTAGAAGCAAGTCAGCATTCTTTCTTCCTTCTCAATTGTCATCTAGCGACTTACGGCTGGGATGAGAGGCCTACGAAGCCGACCTTAATAGGATCTTTAGACATCTTGGTGGCTTTGGCTAAAACGATGAGGTTGAAGGGTGAGGAAATGAGGTAAACGTCATGATCACGATATCTTCGGTGTGAACAATGGCCTTTTATACGTTCAGACAACCGAAGCCATCAATAATGCTTACAAAAGTGTTCGGCGACACCGTCGTCAACCTCACTTTACAAATGCGGATGGAAAGGTATGGCCCGTGTGTCAAACGTTATCCTATTAACTTACAAAGCTCTGAAAGTTACAAATGCGACGGAGCAATCGCCCTTTTGATTCCGCCTACGGCTGATCAAACGCGTCGGATCTGGGGGACGATTCGTTCTGTTTCTAGCCTAACCGTACCACTACACGTACGAACATACGAACAGATTGTCACAGTAGCCGATGCGAAAGGTGTCAAGCAGAAGTTTGGTTTGACGATGTGTGAAGGCAGTGAACGAGTGTATTCCAGCTTGGCTAGCCTACGATTTTCCCATACTGCTCGTACCCAGGCCCATCTACCATTCTATGCGCCCTAGTCTTACCTTTAAAGAGCGTCATGAACGCGCCGAACGAGTGACGGAAAACCAAATCTCAGCCCATCCAGAGACGATAACTCCACTCAGAGCTCATTCTCCTTCTTGCGGGCATCGATAACAGCTAACGCCTCCTCGGCGGCCTTAACACCCGAGAGAGCCATGGCGCCAAAGGTAGGACCTTCAACCAAAGTCAGCATCTGTCATAAACTTCTACCGTGGCGGATATGAACTCACCCATGCGGTTCGCGCCGTCAACCTCCGAGAGCTCCATGCCACCCACAATCAAGCCCTTCACAATCTCCCTCGTCCCCTTGACGATCGCGTCCTCAGCCTCCTTCATATCCAGCCCGCGCATTCCGCCGAGCTGCTCAATCTGCTTCATGCTCACGAGCCTCTTCACAGAGAATGCACCAAACGGCCCGTCGTGGCCCGTCGTCGAGATCACGAGCGGCGCGTTGATCGTGTTCGGGTCCATGCAGCTCTGGTCGTCGTGGTGCATGCTCACCAGCGTCCAGTTCGTCACCACACCGGCAACCCTCACACTGCCGTCCGCCTCCTTGCGCGTGATCAGGTCCTCGACCGCCGTCGCGTTGAACAGCTTCACGTTCGGGAACTGCAGCACGCGGCTGAGCACCGTCGACGTGAACAGCGCGGCGTGCTTCACCACCACAAAGTCGCCCTCGTCGTCGTACGCGACGCCGAGCTCATCCAGGAACACGTCCGCCGGCTTGCGCATGACCATGGCGCTGAAGAGCTGGCCGCCGAGCCACGCGCCGCCGCCGGGCGACACGCCCGCCTCGACAATGGCGATCTTGAGGTCCGGGCGCGCCTTGGCGAGCACGTAGGCCGTGGACAGCCCGCAGGAGCCCGCGCCGACGATGACGATGTCCGACTCGGCGTAGGTGTCGAGGTCGGCGAAGTAGCGCCGCGTCATGGCGCGCGAGACCTGCGACTCGCGGATGGGCGCGAAGGTGAAGGTGTCCCACTTGCCGAACATGTCCTCGACCTTCGTCTTGGCCTCGGCAGCGGCGGCGGCGGGGACGGCCGGGGCGGACTTGCCGGTGGAGTAGGTGACGGCGAAGTCGCGGACGGGGGAGATGGCGGTCGGAGGAGCCATTGTTGTTGATGTCTTGGTTGTACTTCGAGTGCGAAGTGCGTGTGTGTAATCTGCTTGTGTTAGGGTGCATGATCCTTTCGCTGGTATTACCCAGATCAAGTTCAAGGCCGTATGTTCTCAGCCCAGCCCCTTCACCCGCGCCGGTCGCTGGCGGCACCATGAGATGGCAGCGACATAGGCAGGGTAAGAGACTGGGCACCGGCTCATGCGTTTTGCGTTCCAGAGGTCACATACTCTAGATTGTATGGCTCGAGTAAAGCCTTCTCTGTGGGTGTGTCAGCTGTACGGCATCATCGATCTTACCAGGAGGGGCATACTGATTGTGTGTCTGTTGCGTATAGTATTTCGAGAGAACCTCAGACGAGAGACGATTTGGTTATGCTGCAATCGATGATATTGGGGAGATGATCTCCTAGTTAAATACACCTTCGATAAGCCCACGCGAAAACCTTGCCCTATCTCCTGCGGGGTAAAAGCAATAGTAAACATCATCCTCACATCACGCCCAGCTTCTCCCGCCGCCCATTGGGTTTACCATTGGGGAAGCGGGCGTGATCGGCTGCGTGGAATATGCAACCCCGCGACCAAACAAAGTAGAAGCAAGCTACGCAGCTACCTCTCGCCCGCTCGCGCCTTCGCGCTCGTGTAATTCAGCGGGCAAATACATCACAATAGTGGGGGTTCCCTCGCCCCGTCGCCCAACAATTGTGCCGGAAACCAACGGAGCCCCTCCCGAAAGCCGATGTCACCCGCTCCTACGCCGCAACACCCGTCGACGGCCGGGATCGCTGCATGGCCGCGCGCCGACGATCCCCCGCGCGGCGGCTGGGGGCGACCCTGTGTCTCCAGAGAAGAAGAAAACACCTCATCCTCGCGGCTCGTCGATTCCAACCTCTCATCGCGGAGCTGCCCGTTCAGGCAACACGTCGTTCTCCATCGTTTGCCAGGAGACCTATTCGCTTGGTTTGCTATACCTAGACATCGGCGAAAGGATGCTTCGCCGCCGAACCCGGACGCACGCACGGTTCTGCTTACCTCTAGGGAAATAGTGTTCGGTCATTTTTACGTTTGAGCAAAGCACGAAGTACTGCGTATTAGAGTAAGAAATTCGCGCATATCGACTGGCATCGGGCTCCATTGAGTTCCTCAAGACTTTCCTCAAGGTTTGCTGCCAACTTGGCAGGAAGACATGATTGGAGGGGTAAAGGCGAGGTTGAATGGAACCACTTACGAATGCTATTTCTGTGAGTGGTGGGAAGCAATGGGCGCGGGGGTTTGTTATGGTTGACGCACGCGTCATGTGGAAGCATGTGCTTCGTTGTTCATCAGTGACATTAACATTATCGGTGTGAGTAGTCACTAGATGTTGTGGCATGTCACACATAATTGGCGTGACGCTGACCTCACGATAGATGCAGTTCATTCTCATTAAATCATTCTTACATGCCTATCTCATGTGCTTTAGACGGCGCGGCACACTACGCCATAGCTATGTTCCATATGCCACGCCAGCAGAGCAACGTCCAAAGACGCCAATGGCCTGCCCAGGTCTGGTCGATCTATCGTGTAAGATCGTCGTATGCTCCCAATGCGTCAGAACGCCATGCATTACCGCGCCTTCGCAATCATCCCCGAGTAATCTCGACAGCTCGTCGTCACCGCGAACCCCTTCCCCTGACGGTACTCCTCCCCAGTGCTCAACATCAAGAACCCTCCTCTGCGACAGCCGACGTCTTCGCTCTTGACGGTCGAAGGCGTTGCAGGGCCAGTGGTACTTCCATCGGTCTCCGAGCCCGTGCAATCTGAAAGCCCATCGTTGGACATGTCCGCCGCCATCGTCTCCCAAAACTTCTGTGCAGGGCTTTCCGTCAGCTGGCTCAGCTCCTTCAACGCGCTGCCATGCCCGCGATCGTACCACGCAATGAGGTACCACCTCCTCGGAGCCAGAAACATGACTTCGCACCAAAGCACGAAGATCATGAGAGCCACGGGCTCTTTAAACCGTAGCAGAGACAGGTACTGTTCTGACACGAGCGATGGCCAAAGGATGAAGTGTTTCCATATCCGCGGCCGTCCTGGAAGCGAGCTCATCCAAGACTTTAGCGCTACAAGGGCGCTGAGGTAGACCTTGGTGTCATCTTCTGGTATCCCTGTTGCTTCTGACCCGAGTGACAGGAAGTCAACGAAGCGGGCAATCTTTTGTAATGACGGCCGTAGAGCAATGTCGCTGCTGTCGCGCCATTCTTTGATATCGACTTGTGCTAGCTTGTCTCGTATTGGACTCTTGAAGACGTGCGGTGTTACCGTGTCGGAGAACTTCGCTGCTACCCGCATGACGTTTAGAGCTTTGGCCGGCTCGAACGAGTTCACCTGCCCCATGACTTTCTCGTCCGCAAAGGGCCTGTAGTACCCAAAGATTCCGTTGCACATCGCGAAGACGAATGTCGCGAGCCAGTTCTCTTCTGTGACCTCCGGGACCGCCAGTCGAAAGTAGTTACTTGCTTGGATGGCATGCTGGCAGGCCATAGAGTAGTATCGCTTCATCTCGGGCGGCTCGAGGTGGCAGAGATGAAGAGCTGCGATCGACAGCATGCTCTGATGTATGAAAACATTTCGCGATGCAAGCTGTGGCACCCACCGTGACCAGACGTCACATTTCCTAGGGTCGCTCTGAAGGGAGAAGGTGAACCACGCTTGTGTCAGGAAGTGATGCTTGAGTTCAGCCTCGTCGGCGCGTAGCTTCTCGGCCGGTAATGAGGCATTGAGGGCGTCTCTTGAAGAAGCATGAGCAGCAACGGTCGCCGCACGGCGGACCATGCTTAAGGTATCGCCGGTCTTGTCTCCGCCATTTTCTCGGTTGAGGGCGTCTGCCAGGAGACCCAAGTAGCTGCAGTGCTCTTGCCGACGACGACAGTTGGCGCAGACGGGTCCGACGCAGTCGCACTATGTAACACAGTGGTCAGCATCTTCAAGTGGATTATGAATATTGTACGTGATAGAAGGAGGCTTCGGTATGCTGAGATCATGTCTTGTTCGTGTAGCCGTCCTCATGACTGGCCAAGGCAAGATCGAACAACCCGGGATGTGTGCATACATGTAGCCCATTCGGTGCCAAGCACTTGAACAAGCTCCAGAGCACACCGCGCATTTGCAGATGAGGCCCGAAGGATTTTGAACTGGGACGCGGGTCATCCTCACCTTGACACGACGCTTCTTGCACTGTCGACACCCGTTCTTCGTCTTCCCGTGATATTGTCTTGAACCCTTCGGCATTCTATCGTTACATACGTTCGTTTTTGCGGCGCAACGCTCTAGATCTTTGTCTTCTTCCCTCGGTTGGGTCGGCAATCGTGGACGTAAGCGGTACCCG